TAATGAAAATTGTTGCATGAAAAGATTTAATTTTCAAGGTTCATTTTGAGACTTTTCGAATTAAATTATAAATTAAAGAGTTGTCCTTCCTGGCAGAGGATCGGAGTCCCTTAATGTACCTGAATTTTCAAATACCAGTACCCGCTAGATTTTCTGACTTCAGCATAAATTTGCATGTTTCATTAGGTATCTGATTACTTAAATTGGGCTATTGCTCCTATCTTGAAAAACAAGAGACCCATGGGCCACATTGCTCACCTGAGAGGCTTACACCATTCCGTTCTTTACCAGATTTTCCCCTTGTTATACATATTGTGACCCCACCCTACCCCACTGATTATAATTTAGACAATTTGAAATCTACACTACCATAGGATGCTTTGATTCCCCATTGCAAAACTTTGATTCCCCATTGTGCCCCCCCAACCCCCAGGAGTCATTGTTTGAACAATTTTGAATCCACACTACCCCAGGATGCTTCCACATAAGTTTCAGTTTTTCTGGCCATGTGGTTCTTGAGTAGAAGATTTTCAAAGATTTTTCCTTTATATTACTATGTAAAACTTTGATTCCCCATTATGGCCCCACCCTATCCCCGTTGGTCATGATTTGAACAATTTATAATCTACACTACCCCAGGATGCTTCCACTTAAGTTTCAGCTTTTTTGGACCAGTGGATCTTGAGATGGATTTTTTAATGACCCCATCCTATTTTTGTCTTTTCTTGATTATCTCCCCTTGTGAGGGGACTTGGCCCTTTATTTTAACAATTTAAATTCCCCTTCACCCATGGATGCTTTGTACCAAGTCTGGTCAAAATTGGCACAGCGGTTCTTGAGAAGTCGAAAATGTGAAAAGTTTACAGACGCACGACGGACAAAATGTGAGCTAAAACAGGAAAATTCAGGAAAGTTGATCAAGGAATTTTGTCATGGGGGTGGAGGGGAGTAGCCTTGGAGACAGGGGGTCCTGGACTGCACTGAAGTCCCCAGTGGGTTTAGGGCATGTCACTAGTGGGGGTCCACAAATGAAAGATATTTTTTCCTTGATTTTAGGATAGTGAACATATAATTTTATATACACTACTGTACATGTACAAAATCTTTAAAAAAAAAAAAAAAGGGGGGCCTGAATCTGCATTTGTGACATGTACACATCTTTCTTAGGACCTTGCAACTCCACAACACCAACAACATAAAAAAAATTTGAGCATTTGTTTCCTTGCAGTGTGACCACAGAAACAAAGTACCAGTGGTTTAAAGTAATATCTTGCTGCCATTTGAATTTACTTTCTTGGGTACATTTACATGTAAAACTGAACATTTCTAATAAGTAGGCACTGTCAGACGGGTATACAAAGTTCGATTTCGTTACACCCGATTGCAAACTCGAAATGTGTTTTTTTTTTAAATATAGGATAAAATAAAAACATGCAGATTTTACAGTTAAAGGCTTGTTGTGGTTTCGTCCCTAGAAAATGTTTCAAGGCTCTTTTCTCAAATATTTTGTTGTACATGTATGTCAACCTTTAACTGTACGTGAGATTGAGATCGAAAGAAAATTAGTCTAACTTTTATAGCCTGTAACATTGTTTAGGTACAAATGTTAACTATAACACTCTAAACATGTTAAAAAATGCCATATTTTTTCAAAATTTATGACATGTTGCCATGGTAACAATGACACATAGCAACCATACCTTTCAATGACAATGTCAAAGACTTTAAAGGGGGTTTTAAGAAATTCAGAGACAGTACATATCACATGTACAGCTCCTGTATAAATGTTCAGATCATTATAGATGATGGCGCTTAATAACTTTTCATGATAGCTACATGCTCAATGTTGCTGCCAAGCGTTTACAAGCATTTTGAGATTATTGCATAAGCAATGCATGTCCCCTACCGGGTTCCCCCTTTTCTCTAGAATGTCATTTTACAATATGCAAAAGTTATGACCAAGAAAAAAGTGTTTCATGTTTTGCAGTTATGCATGCCTTTAATAAAAAAAATAATAAAACGCATAAAGGCGGAAATTCAACTCATTTTTTCAACACCTTCTTTTGACTTCGTATTTACCATGTTGACCTTTGGAATTTAGCGCAGCACGAACCCAATCTTATACCATTATGAAAAAATTAAAACGCCATCAAAAATCGAATGAGCCGTAACGACATTCAAACTCGATCTGTAACTCACCAAGATACACTCACATGCCGAAATTCAGCTCAATATCTGCAAGCGTTTAGAAAAGAAGTGCTGAAACCCAATTAAGTAGGACAGACTTACAGACAGACCTGGGGACAGCTATACCGACAGATCGACAGACTCAGAGGAAACCTATAGCCCCCTCCAGTTTCACAGGTTAGGGACTTATAAATTAAAAAAAAAATGTCCTGATGTTCTTAAATTACTGTGGTCTGTCAAACACTGAATAATCTTTGCACACATATATAAGAGTGTGTGTCAAAATTGGGTTTTACCGGTATTTCCTTTGTTAACGTTGCTATGGATGAGTTTCTGTTGCTATGGCAATTAGTATTTGTAAAATATTCACTGGATTCATAAAGAAGTCTCAGAAATATGTTTTTACTTTAAAAATTGATTTTGGGATCCATCGATAAGATTTAATTTCATAAATAACTCGCACATTTGACAATTTTTCTCTTTCTCTTAATCAAAACATCCATTTTTGTTGCTAGGCAACCGATTGTAAATATTAAAAAACACAGGTTTTTTAATTTATATTCCAAAAAGGATATTCCTCTGCCTTTATGTAAAATAAACCATACTCTTGTATTGTGCCAGAAGTTTGAGATATATGGCCTTTAAAATTGCTTAAATTAACAAAAATGCTGAATCAGCAAAAAATTCAAAACGTGCATATCTTCCATTGCCCGTAAAAGAAATATCTAAAAATAAAAAAATTATGTATTACATGGTTTTATCACTTGAAATGTTTATCTTTATGATAACATTATTTAAGAACCCCTCTGGTAATATTCACATTGAATTTCAAGCCTCTAAGTTTAGTGATATATTTGTCCATTCTCATGGAAAATTGACTGGTTGCTAGGGAAAATTTCTTTGGCCATGTTTCCATAGTAACCAGGACCCAAAATAATTTTCATTTTACATACGTTGTTCATAGTGCAAGAGAAACCTATGTGTGTAAAATCATCGAATTCTGAGAAACCTCATGATTCACCCTTTGCCTGATTCTTACAGAGACCTGTACTTAAGAGAGATGTCAGGATAAAATTTTGAAGGACTAAAAATTACCGGTAAGACTTTCATTCGGCACCCAGTGCCATATCAATGAGTTTTTAAGGTTTCATCCAAAGGACTTGTAACGTCTACTTCAAATACTAAGCTCTTGGTTAAGGAACAATTACTATCTATGTTTATTCGCCGTACATGTAGTTCAGCAGCGGTCGTTGTTCGTGCATATATTACTTTTTGATTACATTGCTAGTAAAGGCCCGACCACAGTGTTAGCTGTTTAAAATTCCGTAATGATTTATAATAATATAATCATGATAATATATCAGTAACTGTTGTTTTAGCAATTTGATTTCTTGATGGAAAAGCTTGAGAGTAACAAGTAAATGATCTGTAATTACTTATATATTATCAAAACCTCCTTTGCTTTTATCTTCTGATAAAATGTCCATACATGCAAGATTTAAAAGTTGGTAACTTTCAATGTTGAGAAGTTTTGAAGAAATCTTTTTAGGAGTTTTGAACTTCACACATCGGTCACAGTTCTTGATTTTCTCTATAATGTCTTTGATCATTTTTGGCTAGAAAAATCTTTATTTATTTTTCATGAACTTGATGGTTCTGTCATGTCCATTTTACGACTCTAGAAAGTTAGGCATTGGTTAGGTTTATGAATACCATTTGATGAAATGTTAAAGTAAGAATTTAGAATAACTTCTTACGCAAAAGAATTAAGTACCACGATATATAATTATAAATTTAATATAATGGCACTGTCCATGTTTTGCTAAGGAAAACCCAAAATATGTGTATGATCAAAAAATAAAATAGGAAGTGCACAATGGCAATGGTTTTGAAGATTCCTTGAAAGTTTCATCAAATTTCATCCAGTGGTTTGGGAGGAGTTGCGGATAAGAGATGTGTTCCCCAAAGGGTAACAAACGGACGGACGGACATAACGATAACTATATACCCTCCAGCTTTTCAAGCGGGATTATAATGATCAGTGTAACAAGCTACTTTCAGAAGGCCAAGAGATCATGAAACATCTTAAATTTAAGGATGGTATATACAACAATTTTTGATGACGCACTACACATAATGATAAACCACCAATGATTCATTCCTTTTTTTACATGGTATAAATCATACAAATTTTATTATTTTGTAATAATATTTTTTTAAATCTTTAATTTTTTTTTTCAAAATAGACTAAAAATACAACGTTGTAAATATTAAAAACACAGTAACCGATTCGTTTTGAAGCAAAAGGAAGAACGGTTAATTAAAATAAGACCAGAGAGAATGACAATTAAAATTCACTACACAACTAATACATCTAACATTCATTGTCATTTTAAGCTACAGTAGCAAGCTCTAGATGTACCAATGACAACAAATGTATTTTGTATGAAATTCGAAAAAACCTTGAGCCGTAAATTGCATATTTTCATTACGGGATAGTTATGACCAGAGTCTAAAATATAAAACCATAATACTCCAATATGTACATGTAATCAGTTAATCATAGTCACGTGACATGGACGACACTGGACGTGTTTTTTTGTCGCTCCGTGTTTTTTTGACCATTTCATCCGGATTTAAGTTGGATTTCTTTAATTTCGGAAGTCTTGTGTGAGTTTGTGAGTTTGTGAATGTTAGTTTTTGGGATTTACCAGCAAAACCACATTGTAAAAAAGTTTGATTTCTTGTACATATGTTTATTGATTTCTTCTGTGATATCATCTCACCTGTTTACCTGTACATTTCACCTGGCGATGGCAGAGAGTGATTTCGATTCGGTTGACAGAACATCAAAGCCGTTATACTTAAAGAACAATGATCTTCGGGGTTCCTTAAAGAAACAGATCACTGACTTTGATCTTATTGACCCAATAAAAAAAGTAATCGGTGATGAGATACTTTGCGTGCAAATCGACCGCAATCTGTGGAGAATCTATCTCAAAAGCACAGAATGTCGACATAAGCTCCTAACCCAGGGTATTGACATCAATAGCGTAGCATACCAGTTCTATGACACTAACCCATACACCTCAGGAGCTACATCCGTTTCTCAAAAAACCCTAAAACTGAGGATATGTGGTCTCCCTCTCTCTGTGGCAGATTCCGCGGTACAGGAATTACTTAACAAACTCGATGTCAAATTAACAAGTAAAATTCTGTACGAAAAAATCCGCCATCCAGAGACAAACCGGATGACAAGTATCCTAAATGGAACAAGGTTCATGTATATTGAGCCTCTTCCAGACGGAAAATATCTTCCGAGAATTAACTACTGCGGTGGTATCCAGTGTAAGCTTTTTCACTATGGTAAACCCAAAAAGGACATTCACCTTTTATGTACTAACTGCTGGAAAACCGACCACACCCGCTCTAACTGTTCCTTCGAAACCTGTTGTAAGGTATGCAAACAACCTGGTCATTCCCCCGGGAATGAAGCATGCCCTCATTATCAGCCACAAAAGCATTTGACCCCTTTCAGTGGTGCAGAGGATGTTCTATCCAACTTTTACCCATGCGTTTTGGATATCTTCGGAATTAAATACAAGTCGGCTGAGCATGCCTTTCAGTACATAAAGGCAGTAAGATGCAGTGACCTAGATTCTGCCAATATCATCAAAGATGCCGATGACGCCCTTTCCGCTCTACGCATAGGAAAAAAAATAAAACCTAACGAGCAGTGGGTTTCTACCAAGGAGGCTGTTATGGAGGAGATTTTGGAAAACAAATGTGTCCAGGGCCCTGTTTTCCGCGATAAATTGTGTACTTCCAAGCAGTCGACAGTATTCGTTGAAACAACATACAACAACGAATGGGGCTCAGGGCTTGACCGGGATGGTACATGCAACACCAAACCCGAACAATGGCCAGGAAAGAACATTCTTGGTGTCCTTATGAAAAAAATCGCAAGAAAGGTTCGGAAAAGAAAGCTAAGCGATTCAGCAAAAAGCGAAAGAAAACAAAAACAAAAAGATCTTCCGAAACAAAAAACAATACCGCAAATGCTTAATCAGCTGAGAGAAATGTCCGATAGTGATGAACCTGACACGGAGAGTTCCGGTGATGATACGTGTAAGTAACTGTATTATCTCCGATCAGACTGACGCAGCATTGCATGAACTGTGGTATGTGCTTAGTAATATTTATTTACAGACATTTTTGGCATACTTTAAAAATGCTATAATGAATTGGTATGTTCTATTTTTACTTTTTTAGTGATAAGACGTAAATTAGCCCCCCCCCCCCCCGTTTATTTTTCATAAAATTATTATACATTTATATCCACCAGACAAATGGAAAATTTAAGTTTACTTTCGGTGAATGTAAGAGGTCTTAATTCGCCGGAAAAAAGGGCAAAAATCTTTACATGGTTAGCAGAATGTAAAATAGATATAATACTTTTACAAGAAACTCATTTTGTGGAAAAACAAGTAGAAAACTATGATCGAAATTGGAATGGGAAAATAATTCATGCTTTTTCAGACTCTCCCTATAGTAGAGGTGTTTCTATTTTTTTTAAAAGAGAATGTAATGTAGATATTCTAAATGTTCATAAGTCTAATGACGGTAGGAAAATTCTTGTTAATGTAAAAATAGACGGTGACTTATTTACAATTATTAACGTTTACGCACCTAACAAAGAGTCAGATAGATTAGCATTCCTATCAACTCTAAACACATATATTTCTTCGTTTTCTGCGCAAGATAGTACAATCATAGTAGGAGGTGATTTCAATTGCAATTTTGATAAAGAAAATGACAAATCCAATAAAAAATTAAGTAAACTGGTAAATAAATTCGACTTAGTCGATGTATGGCTTAATAAGAATCCTAATAATAACGGTTACACCTGGTGTGATGCAGAAAATTGTCCAAAGAGTAGGATTGATTATATTTTTGTAAGTAAAGACTTTATAAAAAATGTAAAAAATATCATTGTCAGACGAATTCCTGGTACTCATAATAATAACACTCGATTAAGTGACCACAGATATCTTAAATGTACTTTAAATCTGAATAAATTAGATAGAGGTGCAGGTTACTGGAAATTGAATGTATCTCACCTTGATAATGATGATTACAAACACGGTATAGAGGAAATATTTAACAACATTGATGAAACGCTAGATCCAATTTTAAAATGGGAAACTTTTAAAATAAGTGTACGTGATTACTCTATTAAATACGCGAAACAATCCAAACATAATATAAAATATAAAATAAAATTACTTGAGGAAAAAATCGATAAAATTGAATTTTTGCCTAGTCTAGAAATTAATATGAATGAAAAGCGAAAACTAGAGAAAGAACTAGATGCAATGTATGATGAAATTGCTAAAGGAGCTCAAATAAGATCAAAAGCGCAATGGATAAGTGAGGGAGAGCGAAATACCAGTTTCTTTCTAGGTCTAGAAAAGAAACATCAAACGAATAATACAATAACTGAATTAAAAAAGAATAATAAAACCTTTGCAAGTAATAGTGAAATTTTACAAGAAATGTGTCTTTTTTACGAAAACTTATATACAAGCAAATCTGACGATGGAAACAATATTTCTTCATATCTACAAGACATTGAATGTCCAAAACTTAGTGATCGCGATAGAAAGTTTTGTGACACATTTCCAACATTTGATGAATGCTCGGATGTGGTATACAATTTAAAAAGGAATTTTATAAATGTATTTGAAAAAGACGAATTACCATATTCTCAGCGATTGGCACTTATCACTCTTTTATTTAAAAAGGGAGACAAGAATAACCTTAAAAACTACAGACCATTGAGTTTAACAAATACCGATTACAAGATTATAGCTTTTGTTCTCGCAAAAAAATTACAATTAGCAATGAACAATCAGCATATATCAAAGGTCGTATAAATGCAAGATTGATTTTAGATATTTATGAATACTGCATGGAAAATGAAAAAGACGGAATATTATTATTTTTAGATTTTGAAAAAGCTTTTGATTCGGAGTGGAATTTTCTTTTTCAAGTTTTAAGAAAATTTAACTTCGGTGATAATTTTCTTCAATGGATCCGAATTCTATATAATAAACCAATATTCAGAATTAAAAACAATGGTTGGATTTCTAAAACATGTAGCATGAATAGAGGTATTAGACAAGGATGCCCTATTTCAGCTCTATTGTATCTATTTGTGGCAGAAATACTGGCCTTAAAAATTAAAAATAACAATGAAATACAAGGTATCAATGTTTCAAATATGAAAAGGGATATTAAAAATATTCAGCATGCAGACGATATCACATTGGCTTTAAAAATATATCTTCTTTGAAGGTTGCAGTTAAGACTGTTAATGATTTTTGTAAACACGCTGGTTCAAAGGTCAATATAAGCAAAACACAATGTATATTATTGGGTAGTCTAAAAGATAAATACACTAACATAGAAGTTATCCAGGTAACAAATGATGCTGTTCGATGTTTAGGTATACACATTGGCCATAATAAAATATAATGTTATGAATTGAACTGGCTAAAGACTTTTCAAAACATGGAAAAACTCTTTGAATCTTGGAAAAAAAGAAAATTGACTATTTTTGGAAAAACATGTGTCGTTAACTCTTTAGCTACGTCACAACTTATATACATGGCTTCAATATTACCAATGCCCGATCCCGATCATACTCGACAAATTAAGAAAAGCATATTTAACTTTATATGGAATAAGCGCGATAGGATTAAAAGAGATACTGTGATCGGAAAACAGGAAGATGGTGGAATAGGTGTGATAGATATTGAATTGAAATTTAAGGCCTTAAAGGCAGCATGGACTAGATATTTAATAGAAGAAAACTGTATAATCGGCGAAATAGTTAGAGGATATTTAAATCGCCTTAATATTGATATTAACTATCTATTAACATTATCAGAGACAAAACCCTCAGACTTTCAAATCATTTCAAACCTTCCGGTTTTTTATAAAGAAGTATTTTGCAGTTTTAACGATTGCAAAAGATACATAGATGAAACGAAATTGTCTAATGTAAGTTTTGCTCAACAACCAATATGGAATAATAATATGTTTAAATATGAAAACAAAACAATATGTTTTAAACATTGGATCAAAAGTGGGATAACACATGTTAAAGACCTTTTTAACAAAAATGGAAATTTTAAAACTCTACAAGAGTTGTCCGGTGATTTAAAACAAAAATCGAATTGGATGTGTGAATATAAAATAGTAAAAACAGCAATCTATAAAAAATCTTTAAGATTCAATATGACTTGTTGTGCATACATACAAAATATAGGGAAGTGTTATTTTAATTTTGTAAATGGTGTACATTGTATTGAAGATAAAAAATGTAAATTTTTTTACGATAATTTACTCTTTAAGAAATTAAATCTCCAGGCCATCAATTAATGTATAAAAAACTATTTTCTGTTGCTCAAGAGAGTTGGAAGGATATATATAGAAACAAGGTTAAGGATATCTATGACAAAAGAATTTGTGAATTTAATTACAAATTGTTGAATAATACATTGTGTTGTAACCGTTTTCTTTTTAAATGCAAATATAGAGCTTCTGCTTTATGTAATATGTGTGATGAAAGTGAAGATATTAGACATTTAATTTTTGATTGTGAACATGTTCATATACTGTGGAAAAATCTGAGTTCTGTGTTAAATTTTGATGTACAGTGGAAGCATGTCGTCCTAGGTTTTTATTCTGAACGGAATTCCAAAATACAATTTTTAAATACCTTTGTGTCTTTCATAACATATAAGATATATAAATTTAAAATGTTTTGTAGAGTTACGAACAAAACTGCAACAAAAGATATGTTATTTTCTTATGTCAAAACAAATATTAAAAACAATATGGACATTTTACTGAATTTAACAAAGACTCACCTGTATAAAAATAAGATGGTGTCATTTGTAGAAATGCTTTAATTAATATATGTTGTTCTGTTATTTTTGTTATACTAACTATCCTGGCCCGGGTTAGTTAGAAATTGTAATCGGGCGTGCATAATTATTAATAAATTTATTTAAAAAAAAAATTAATCAGCTACTTCGAGAGAACAGTCTCAAGTAGTATCGTCCACTGGGGAGTGTTTGGACTTTTTCTGGTTTTAGGACCCCGGTGGACCATATTTGTTCAACTCTGATTCAGTATATATTTTGTGTATTTATACTCTGCAACACTTTGTCTTAAAAAAACCATTATTCCATTATATGTATATGCACTATAAAAAAATTGTTATAATCGAAAAAAAAAGGAATTTACTATTTATTTTTGTAATAACTTGCATAAATATGTAAACATTTGATGTATTTAACAACATATAGATAATCATGTTTCTCTCTTATTATTTTTGTACTGTTCATGTATTGTTGTTATTTATAAAAAAAAAATCCTGAATACAATCTTATTACAAAAAAAAAATTAGATATGAAAATGTTTTACAAAAACTGTAGTTTGATTAATATACGTGGAATATTTTGGTGATTTTACAACGTTTATACATTTTAAAACATTTTTACTATTAGTATGCGTAAAAGCAACGTAAGGGATCGGCTGCCAACAGATAGTCCACAGAAGAAATTAAGTATCTTGTTTGAAGAACTTCAGCAGATTCTAGAGAGTGATGAGTATAACAACAGCCTAAGAAAATACTTACACGAATCAAACCCAGACTACCTAAAAATAATTGAAAAAAGGAACAAAGATCTTTTGAAGGAGGATCATGGAATTGTAATTGCAGGTAAATAATTATATAACTGTACAAATTAAACTAATTAAGACGTATTTTTGAGAATATGATACATAACAATAGTTATATTGGTTTTGTAAAGAAAGGTAAAAAAATATATATATTAGGAAGATTTATTGCAAGGTGATTTGTACCCTCTGATCCAGCGAGAAAAAGAATTGCAGTTCATCATAATGTTTTCCGAAGGCTCAACATGCAGTATAAAAACATGATATTTTATCTTGCACTAATTCAGGCTACAGTTTTTAAATTTGTAGGCATGTACAACCAATATGGTGAGAGAAATTTGAAAGCATCATGATAATCATAAAGCTTGCAATTTTCTCTCTCCATATTGGTTGTACATGCATTCTTATCATTTTTCGGGAGTCACATTACTTTATTAATCATTTTACAAACAATTTCAAATTTTCTTAACGTTACAAAATAGTTAAATCTGCACAAATGGTTAATTTTGTGAA